AACAGCAACGGCGGTAGCGGCGCTAGCAACAGCAACGCCGCGGCGCGAGCTCCGGGACTCAGCGCCAGGCCACCGGACGGTGACGTCACGCGTCTGAGCGCCAGCCGGAGCGAAAAGCGCAGACCCGGAAAGTTCGTGCTGGGCTTCAGCTCGGACGAGTCGGACGCGGAGGCACCGCAGAAGAAAGGAGGCCCGAATCACGGCGGCAGCAGGAGAGACCGAGGATCCGCGCTGCAGACACCCAACTTCAGGCCTGCGGGAACACCCGCCGCCTCCCTCGGCTTATCCGTGGACAGGAAAAGCATTTCTGCGTCTCCGTGGTGGGCAGACCGATGCAAATCCAACGATTTAGAGGAAACGGAAAGAGACAGTCGGGCTTTGAACGGGAATAAGGCGTTTTATGAGTCTAACAGTAGTAAACTAGTCAGGGATTACTCTGATTCAGACGAGGAGGAGGAAGAAGAGGGTGAACGAGAGCGTCCCCGCGAACGCCGTCTGACTTCCAGACACTCCTCTTCCCCTTACCGGAGCGTCTGGAGCGCGGAGAAGACGGCGCATGATTCTCCCGACTTCAGTCTAGATATGCTCGGGGAACGAGATGAGAAGAAACCGAGGGTGTTCAGCGGAAGCTACGTGAGCCGCAGCTACCAGAAACTCTCCGGGATTGACGGGGATGATAACAGCAGCGGCACCGGCGGAGGTGGTATCGCATCCGGTTCTTTTAATAAGAACCACATCGACAACGGAGACGGCGAGTCCCCCTGCAGCAGCAGTAGTCGGTTCAGTGTCGGGCTCAGACCGCGCTTTCCCTCCTACACAGCGACCTACCGAGCGAACCATTCGAACCACACCGGTTTCAACCACTCCTACAGCCATGCCTCAGCCCTCAAGTCCAAGCAGCACACCGCGGTCCCCGAGGACGAGCTCCTGCAGCAGTTTAAACGGGAGGAGGTGTCCGCCACCGGCGGCTTCAGCGCTCACTACCTGTCCATGTTCCTCCTGACAGCCGCCTGCCTGTTCTTCGTCCTGCTGGGCCTCATGTACCTGCGGATGAGGGGCTCCAGC